CTCTACCTCAATTCCACCTCGCAAGTTTGCATTTCCATATACTGTAGGACTACACTGCTGTCGCTTGCCTTTCTCTGCCGTTTTTCCAGCTGTTAACGACTGTGACGTAGTGGTGGAGAGTCGACTCCAAAATAATTGATTCCTCCGCTCCTTGCACGTCAACTCCCGGTGTCGACTCCCATTTCTGACTGTCAAGATTAGATCCCGCTTGGAATCGACTCCTAAAATTCAGTATTTTTGGAACAGAGGAGACTGATTACTTGCCATACTTCCGAGAACACAAACACTCACATCTTTCATAGTGAACTAGCGAGGGGAGGGGCACAGTATAGGCAAGTCGGCCACCAGGCAGACAGTCAGAACCGTGCACTAGGCCTATCTATCGGCAATCTAAAGCTGAATCTTGCAATGGAATGCTGTATCTCGCAATTTCTTGGTTTGCAATGTCTCGGAACTTCAGTAAAGCACGGCCTATCATCAACGAATAGGCTAGGATATTCTACATGTAACAGACTGAAGACTAAATACACACTCGCACCATTAGCAAAGAGAAGGAGCAGGCGAGCCAACGCGAGGGAGAGAGCGGAGGGGGCAGGCAGAAAGATTTGTGCGCATATTTTGGTAATCTGTATCTTGCAATGTCTTGTCTTGCATGCCTCGCAAATTCATGAAAGTAGCCTAAAGTTTGCCTCTTTTTATTTAAATTATACAACTTTTCCCAGGCCTTTATAGCCTATGTCTAGTTAGGCTATAACACGAAAAATGTTTTGTGATAACTGCACTGTGATTTTAAATGTTGTGTCCCCCCCCCCCCCCCCCCTCAAAAAAAAACAGTCCGTTAGGGATTTTTCTTAATCCCAATTTCGTACCCGTAGAGTACAGTATATTGTAATATACTTCTCTACTGGACTGTACTAGACTAAACTATAGTTTTCTTTACTGTACTTTACTGCACTCTACTGTACCGGGGGTCGCATTAGCTTTCTGAAATCTGAATTTCTAAAACGCAGACCATCAAAATAAAACTGCGTATTTAAACCATTTCACCTGCATTTCATATTGAAAGTCGTGTTTTTTTTGCTTCAATAGAGTGATAAGGGGCGTGCAACTCTAGTTTTTCGAAACACAAAATGCATTAGTGCAACACATTCGGCAGAAAATGAAATTGTTTTCATCAGATAACAACAGAAGTGCAACGCTATTTGGCTAGTAGCTACACAAGTAAATTAGTTTACAATAAAAAAGCAATGTCATATTTCTGTTTATCATAGAAAGAATGTAGCCAGCCTCATTTCCTAATGTTTTACTTGAAGTTAATCTTGCATTTTAACTTGCTACTGGAGAAAAACTACTCTGGAGGAAAGAAGAAAAGTAGCCTTCAGAGCTGTCTGGTGATCCAATGACAAGTGCAAAGATATTTCATCCGAGTGGAGAAGTGCAACTGAAGCACGAAATTAGTCCTTTTACATTCGTGATTTGGAGCGAACCCTAACTGAAGCCGCGCAGAATTTATAATAAGAAGCATTTTAGATCTGCGTTTACAAACACAGCAAAATATTTTTTCAGCGTTTTATCTTTCCTTTTCTGCGTGAAAAACACAATCCTGTGTTAACGCGACCCCTGACTACTAACCTCTCTCTGCTTGCTTCCTCTCTCTGTGTCTCTTCCTCCTCCTGCATTGCAGACTGCTTCAGCCTTACCACTGTCTGCCTCACCACTGTCTGTAAAGCATTTTTAAAAAATAGATTTTTATATACATGACAATATTACATTGTATTTATTTAAATTGTCTTTATACTGTATTTCACTCAATTTTTATGTCCCACAGGCTGTTCCAACTCATAATGACATGAAAGTGCATTCTAACAGTGTAAAAGGCCCTTAGTTGACTCTAAAATGGTGTATATAATGCCTATTTGAAGAGAAGCAAGTTATTAATGTGTTTGATAAGATTCAAGATTCTCTCAGGGGACCCTATTTAAATGTCAGGGGATCCCACATGGGTCCCTGACCCCAAGTTTGGGAACCACTGTACTACTAACCCCTCTCTCGGCTTGCTTCCTTCCTCTCTCTGCCTCCTGCATTGCAGCCTGCCTCAGCTTCACCACTGTCTGCCTCATCACTGGTATGCAATATAATATTATTTCTGTTGTTGATTTGGAAATTGCACTACTCTTTTTATTTTTTACATAATGCTTGAAAATGAAGCACAGGTTAGGGTTAATGCAGAATCAACCATTTCTGATTCTGCTTTACTGAAAATGTATGCATGGAGTCAGCCATTGACACCAAGCTAAGGCAGGAGCAACTGCACACTGCTAACCCCAAGAATGGCATGAGAAGGATGGAGTCTTCCAGCAGTGGATGTCTCCACAGAATCTGCTGCATCTTCTGGCCGAGTAAAATGCACTACACTAAGCTAAACAAGAAGACCGGTTGCCAAAATGTCACACACCACATCAAGTGGTTATGGACTTATGTCCCAATGGAGATGAAATGGATTGAAGTATAGATTATTAGATCTTTGTCGGCCTATGTGGACAGCTCTCTAGCTAGAGAGTTGTACACTGATCTTCTATGACCCTGTAGGTCATCCATGCCATGAATCTTGGTCACATACTCTACCATACTCTCTTGCCTAAATTGACAATTTGTCTGGCCTAAATGGTCATATTCACTCCAACCTTCTACTCGGTACATCTAAAGGAGGATCCTTCCATCTTTTCTTTATTTTTCCTTTGCTGTTGCTTGCTCTTTGGGAGTCAAGGCCGGGGTGTTGATCATCGTTGTTGTGAAAAGGGCTATATAAATAATATTTGTATTAATTGATTTTGAAGTGCTGCACCAATGCTTCATTTGTGGGAGGATTTGCTCATTTTCTGTTTCTTTCTTCATGAACATCTCAACATGAGCTTGATTGATGTTATCTTGACTGAGTGCAATCATAAAGGAGAATTGTGAATGGCTCTAAAATGGACATGTTCTCTTCTGAAATATAATTTGAGGAGTGGCATGTGGGATCCAGGGGAAAGACAACAGCAGAAGACGATTGTATGGCTCTGTATGCCACAGAAATAATATTCTATTGAGTCAGAAACTGCAATTTTAATTAGCTTGCTTACCATGGCAGTCCACCCTTTATGTAATCATCTGAACTGTTTATGACGTACACGTCACCATTGTAATCCTTGACCATCATAACATAGGGGTAGACATTACATTTTCCATGTTATGTTTGGTACAGGAGATATGACGCAAAATATCCTGAACAAAAATATAAACGCAACGTGAAGTCTTGGTTCATGTTTCATGAGCTGAAATAAAAGATCCCAGAAATGTTCCATACGCACAAAAAGCTTATTTCTCTCAAATGTTGTGCACAAATTTGTTTACATTCGTTTTAGTGAGCATTTCTCCTTTGCCAAGATAAGATCATCCATCTGACAGGTGTGGCATATTAAACAGCATGATCATTACACTAGTGCACCTTGTGCTGGTGACAATAAAAGGCCAATAAAATGTGCAGTTTTGTCACACAACACAATGCCACAGATGTTCTGAGGGAGCATGCAATTGGCATGCTGACTGCAGGAATGTCCACCAGAGATGTTGCCAGAGAAGTTAATGTTAATTTCTCTACCATAAGCCACCTCCAGCGTCGTTTTTAGAGTATTTGGCAGTACGTCCAACTGGCATCCCAACCGCAGACCATGTGTAACCACACCAGCCCAGGACCTCCACATCTGGCTTTTTCACCTGCGGGATCGTCTGAGACCAGCCAACCGGACAGCGGCTGAAACTGAGGAGTATTTCTGTCTGTAATAAAGCCCTTTTATGGGGAAAAACTAATTCTGATTGGCTGGGCCTGGCTCCCAAGTGGGTGGGCCTATGCCCACCCATAGCTGCGCCCCTGCCGAGTCATGTGAAATCCATAGATTAGGGCCTAATTTATTTATTTTAATTGACTGATTTCCTTATATGAACTGTAACTCAGTAAAATTGTTGAAATTGTTGCATGTTGCGTTTTACATTTTTGTTCAGTATACATTTTGGTTATGGCAGAATGGAAAATGGGCCCAAACTGCACAAGTGTGTCAAGATTTTCATGCTTTTATGAAAAAGTTAACATCATTTTCATATATGGCCTGGACTATAGGCTAACTGTTACAGGTAGCCAGCCTATCGTATCTAGACTATATGAGGTAATGGAGTAAAGTTACATTTAACATTTTAGTTTTAAACTCAACATGCTGATTTTGTCTTTCTATCAAGTTCAAGTTTGCCATTTACTGGTAGTTAAATTGCCTACATTGACAATCTTACTCACAGACAGTTCAGGTTAAACACATACAAATAGCTTCAGCAATATATCAATGAAATCAAAGCTTATAGGAGGAATATCAAAGTAGGCTAATACAAAAAAACGGACCCAGTCAGCAATGAAGTCATCTATTCAGTAGTCACACTACTGCCTGTGGGTAGAAACGGCCTCTTTGAACCTGGTGGTCTAATACTATGGCTGGACCATTGGGATGAAAACAGTTCATGATTATACTGAGGGCGGCAGTGGTTAATGAAAATGTCCTTGATAGATGGCAACTCTGTTCCTAGGTGCCGCCTTCTAGGTTAGGTCAGTATATGTGGGGTTGCTTTATTTCTGAGGTCTATCCCTAGTTAGAAACATCCTACAGGAAATCTGAGGGTGTTAGAATAAGCTATAGCAGGGTCGTATTCACTAGTGCAAACGGAAAATGAAAACAAGCATTTCTTGTTGGACAAGTTTAGGTAGTCCTGCCCTGTTTCAGTCCTTTTTCGTCCATTTGGGTGCCTGGATCCTGGAATATCACAGATGATTTGACCATATGGCTGATTTGTTTCTCACATCATGTAGCCCCATTTGTAGTCTATAACCCGAGATGTTTTAGTCTCATGATTGTGACTTAATGACTGCCCTAAATCCAGTCATTGCCACTGCCAACTATTTGTTTTAATTCTGTTACAGGTTGAGAGAATTGTGGACAAACGGAAGAACAAGAAGGGAAAGATGGAGTACCTGGTGCGGTGGAGGGGCTATGGCTACGAGGGGGACACCTGGGAGCCCGAGATGCAACTCTCTGCCTGTGTGGAGTTCATCCACGATTTTAATCGGCAACACAGTGAAAGACAGAGAGACGGCACATTACTGCGCTCCACTCGAAGCACGGCCCACAGCTACAGTTCGAGAAACAACGCCCGCAAGCAGATCTGCAGGCCTCAGCCACACAGTGGCAACAGTGGAGCAGGAAGCCAAGCTCTAGTAAAACCCGGGAATGCCCCTTCGCCCCCCACAGCAGCTATGGCCATCTCCAAACAGTTGCCACCACTTGACACTGGCATGGCAGACGCTAAAACGAACATACAGCAGCTTAACTTGAGCCAAAAGTACAGCGTTTCGGCCACCGGTGCCATTTGTAGCCCGGGCTTCACAAGTGGGCCTGCGGCTTCTCCGGTGGGCACGGTGCGTCGGAGCATGGACCTGGCCAAGTCCGGGATCAAAATCCTGGTACCCAAAAGCCCCATGAGCAGCCGGGCGGACTCTGAGGAGTCGCCTAGCGAGGCGGCCCACTGTCTGGATCAAGGGGGGCAGGAGCAGGACTCGGTGCCCCCAGAGGTGGCCCTTTTGGAGAAGCCTCCGGGGTTGCTGCTGGGGCCTGGGGAAGAAAGGGCGCGCATGGGGACCCGGCCCAGGACTCAAAGCCCATTAATCCCTCAGCAAGTCCCCATAACACCTGCATCCATACGCACGCTCAATGGGAAAGGTAAGGCTCTAGGGCGATTCCACGCCAGGTGAAAATATTTTCGGTATCTCACATAGAAACTTCATTGGGAGGAAGGATGTTTGAAATGCTTTTTACATTTGTATCACCAGCCACTTTATTTAATTTTTTTATTATGATGAAAGTGGCCATTTTAGGCCCTTTTTAGACATACAGTACCAGTCAAGTTTGGACACCTACTCATTCAAGGGTTTTTCTTTATTTTTACTATTTTCTACATTGTAGAATAATAGTGAAGACATCAAAACTATGAAATAACACATATGGAATCATGTAGTAACCAAAAAAGTGTTAAACAAATCAAAATATATTTTAGATTCTTCAAAGTAGCCACCCTTTACCTTGATGACAGCTTTGCACCCTCTTGGCATTCTTTCAACCAGCTTCACCTGGAATGCTTTTCCAACAGTCTTGAAGGAGTTCCCACATATGTTGAGCACTGGTTGGCTGCTTTTCCTTCACGCTGCGTTCCAACTCTTCCCAAACCATCTCAATTGGGTTGAGGTCGGGGATTGTGGAGGCCAGGTCATCTGATACAGCACTCCATCACTCTCCTCCTTGGTCAAATAGCCCTTACACAGCCTGGAGGTGGGTTTTGGGTCATTGTCCTGTTGAAAAACAAATGATAGTCCCACTAAGCCCAAACCAGATGGGATGGCGTATCGCTGCAGAATGCTGTGGTAGCCATGCTGGTTAAGTGTGCCTTGAATTCTAAATAAATCAGACAGTGTCACCAACAAAGCACCATAACACCTGCTCCTCCATGCTTTACGGTGGGAAATACACACGCGGAGATAATTCGTTCACACACACAGCGTCTCACAAAGACACAGCGGTTGGAACCAAAAATCTCCAATTTGGACTCCAGACCAAAGGACATATTTCCACTGGTCTAATGTCCATTGCTCGTGTTTCTTGGCCCAAGCAAGTCTCTTCTTATTGGTGTCCTTTAGTAGTGGTTTCTTTGCAGCAATTCGACCATGAAGGCCTGATTCACGCAGTCTCCTCTGAACAGTTGATGTTGAGATGTGTCTGTTACTTGAACTCTGAAGCATTTATTTGGGCTGCAATCTGAGGTGCAGTTAACTCTAATGAATTTTATCCACTGCAGCAGAGGTTACTCTGTGTCTTCCATTCCTGTGGCGGTCCTCATGAGAGCCAGTTTCATCATAGCGCTTGATGGTTTTTGCGACTGCACTTGAAGAAACTTTCAAAGTTCTTAATGTTCCGTATTGACTGACCTTCTTGTCTTAAAGTAATGATGGACTGTCGTTTCTCTTTGTTTATTTGAGCTGTTCTTGCCATAATATGGACTTGGTCTTTTACCAAATAGGGCTATCTTCTGTATACCCCCCCTACCTTGTCACAACAAAACTGATTGGCTCAAACGCATTAGGAAAGAAAAGAAATTCCACAAATTAACTTTTAAGAAGGCACACCTGTTAATTGAAATGCATTCCATGTGACTACCTCATGAAGCTGGTTGAGAGAATACCAAGCGTGTGCAAAGCTGTCATCAAGGCAAGGGGTGGCTATTTGAAGAATCTCAAATATAAAATATATTTTGATTTATTTAACACTTGTTTTTGTTACTACATGATTCCAAATGTGTTATCATAGTTTTGATGTCTTCACTATTATTCTAAAATGTAGAAAATAGTAAAGAATTAAGAAAAACCCTGGAATGAGTAGGTATATCCAAACTTTTGACTGGTACCTCCTATAAGTCCCTATGATCCGTAAACCGTACATGATACAGACAACATCTTGGTGTCATTATACTCCTAATAGTGTGCTTTAACATATGGAGTATGTCTAGATTCTGAAATACACATTTTCACAATTATTCTAAAATGGATAAATCGTTTTTTCCCCTCATCAATCTACATACAATACCCCATAATGACAAAGAAAAACTGGTTTTTAGAAATGTTTGCAAATGTATTAAAACTGAAATATAACATTTACATAAGTGTTCAGACCCTTTACTCAGTACTTTGTTGAAGCACCTTTGGCAGCGATTTACAGCCTTGAGTCTTCTTGGGTATGACGCTACAAGCTTGGCACACCTGTATTTGTGGAGTTTCTCCCATTCTTCTCTGCAGATCCTCTCAAGCTCTGTCAGGTTGGATGGGGAGCGTCGCTGCACAGCTATTTTCAGGTCTCTCCAGAGATGTTCGATCGGGTTGAAGTCCGGCCTCTGGCTGGGCCACTCAAGGACATTGAGACTTGTCCCGAAGCCACTCCTGCGTTGCCTTGGCTGTGTGCCTAGGGTCGTTGTCCTGTTGGAAGGTGAACCTTCGCCCCAGTCTGAGAACCTGAGCGCTCAGGAGCAGATTTTCATTAATGATCTCTCTGTTTTTTGCTTCGTTCATCTTCCCCTCGATCCTGACTAGTCTCCCAGTCCCTGCCGCTGAAAAACATTCCCACCGCATGATGCTGCCACCACCATGCTTCACGTACGGATGGTGCCAGGTTTCCTCCAGATGTGACGCTTGGCATTCAAGCCAAATAGTTAAATCTTGGTTTCATCAAAACAGAGAATCTTGTTTCTCATGGTCTGGAAGTCCTTTAGGTGCCTTTTGGCAAACTCCAAGCGGGCTGTCATGTGCCTTTTACGGAGGAGTGGCTTCCGTCTGGCCACTCTACCATAAAGGCCTGATTGGTGAAGTGCTGCAGAGATGGTTGTCCTTCTGGAAGGTTCTCCCATCTCCACAAAATAACTCTGGAGCTCATTGGTTCTTGGTGGTTCCAAACATTTCTTCAGCATTGAAGGTCCCCAAGAACGCTCAGGACCTCAGACTGGGGCTAAGGTTCACCTTCCAACAGGACAACGACCCTAAGCACACAGCCAAGACAATGCAGGAGTGGCTTCGGGACAAGTCTCTGATTGTCCTTGAGTGGCCCAGCCAGATCCCGGACTTGAACCTGATCGAACATCTTTGGAGATACCTGCAAATAGCTGTTTAACGACGCTCCCCATCTAACCTGACAGAGCTTGAGAGGATCTGCAGAGAATAATTATGTAAATGTTATATTTCAGTTTTTATTTTTATAAATTTGCAAGAATGTTATTATGGGGTATTGTTGCCATAACAAAGGGGTTGAATACTTATTGACTCAAGACATTTCAGCTTTTCCTTTTTAATTAATTTTGTAAAATGTTCTAACAACATAATTCTACTTTGACATTATGGGGTATTGTGTGAAAAAATCTCAATTGAATCCATTTTAAATTCTGTCTGTAACACAAGAAAATGTGGGAAAAAGTCCAAGGGGTTGTGAATACCTTCTGAAGGCACCGTAGGTCTAAAATGGCCACTTTCATCAGGATTTTCAAAAACTCCTCTAGGCTTTTCCAGTAGACTGCAATAACTGTTGTTGTTGTGATGTATACTGAACCCAGGTCTTGTAGTTGTACATTCAAATGCCATAAACACTCCATTGCTGGGTTGCCTCTGATTGGACCGGTTTTATCATTTGTAGCCTACAACTTCTTGCTTTGGGCTAAGTAGACCACAATGCCACAGGGGAGTGATTGGGGACACTGCCATGCAAACTGATGTCTTTACTCTAGGTCAATTCAATTTCTCCCCCTTCTCCTCAAACTTTGTACTCATTCATTATCTGTCAATTAAGTCAAAGTTGGTGAACTGTTCATCTGCTGTTCAGTAGACCAGAAGGGAAGCCCTACTCGTGAACTACAGTAAACCATTCAGGCAGTACCACATTTAATCTACCTGGTTATTAAAACAGACAATATTAAGGAAGGCTGTGTCACCATTCCCACCCCCCCCCCCCCCGTATCTTAACTTTTATTCTTATCACCAGGTACATCAACACTCATGCAGGCTCTGGCGGCCAATGGGACAGCTAGCCTGCAGAGTGCAGTGGCAGGAGTCACCGCAGTCTCCGGGGTGGCGGGGAAACGGCGCTTCGGGGAGCAGCGCTCGGTCTTCGATAAGCGCCTTCGGTTCAGTGTCCGGCAGACGGAGAGCGCCTATCGCTACAGGGACCTCGTCGTCAAGAAGCAGGACGGCTTCACCCACATCCTGCTCTCCACCAAGTCCTCGGAGAACAACTCACTCAACCCCGATGTGAGTCATACGCCTGTCTTGTCTTTGCCCTAACAAAACAATTGTTATACTGCATGACAATTGGCGTGACAGGCCAAAAATAGTAGTACTTCATCGTTTAGTTATGCCAACTTTTCCGAACACTTGGTAGTCAAATATATATGTAAGCAAAATATCTGAAAAGAAAGTCAAATACTGGTCCTATAAAAATATATTGGGTTTGTTTCCTGGACACAAATTAAGCCTAGTACTATACTAAAAAGTATTTCCAATGTAATTCTCCATCGAAAGTGCTTCTTAATCCAAGACTATGCTTCATCTGTGTCTAGGTAACTGGCCCATAATAATTGTAAGTATTTTTTTAATGTCTCCCTCTCTGGGCTGCCTCAGGTAATGAAGGAGATACAGAGTGCCATGGCCACGGCGGCGGCAGACGACAGCAAGCTGGTCCTGCTGAGCGCCGTGGGCAGCATCTTCTGCTTCGGCCTGGACTTCATCTACTTCATCAGGCATCTCACCGACGACCGCAAGAAGGAGAGCATCAAGATGGCAGAGACCATTAGGTAGGTCAGAAGGTGTACTTCTGTTTCTGTTTTGTATGTGATTTGTTTTCAGAGAGAAAACCCCCCAAATATGTTAAAAACAAACAACAACAAAAAACGTTGGAAAGGGATGGAACGATGGCTAACCTTGGCTCTTTCTCGATTGTCCAAAAATGTGACCTCGTCGTCCTTGTCCCCCTTACCATCATCTGCACTGATTGGAGAAAACATAATGGTGGAATGGTTGGTTTCATCTCTGGTCAGTTCTTTCAGATCAGTACAAGTGACAGATTTGTAGACGGTTATAATCATCGGTTATTTTGAACAGGTGATGAGTAGAACGTTAGCTGTGTGTTGTAGTGGCAGTCTTTGTAATAATGCCACAGAAGACGGTGATGCAGATAGTCTGTCATTCCCATCCTCAGGACATTCGTGAACACGTTCATCCAATTCAAGAAGCCCATCATCGTAGCCGTGAACGGGCCGGCGGTGGGCCTCGGAGCCTCCATCCTCCCGCTGTGTGACGTTGTCTGGGCCAACGAGAAAGCCTGGTTTCAGACGCCCTATACCACCTACGGACAGACACCCGACGCTTGCGCCTCCCTCACCTTCCCTCGCGTCATGGGCGTGGCCTCGGTGAGTTTATACGGCGTTGTCTGAAAAATCCTCCTCAGAGGGGGAGTAGTCCAGCACAGCAATACAGATATAGTGTGGGGAACTGGTTTTAAGTGTAGCACTCACTGGGCTGGTTTTCCTGCGATGGGGAATCGATCCTGTCCAATTCAAAAAATAAGAATGGAGTGGGACAGCTATTAATACTAACGGTGAACTACTATTAATACTATTCCAGTCCTTTGCTTAGCCTCACCCCCTCTTCTCCCCTCTTCTCCCCAGGCCAATGAGATGTTGCTGAGTGGGCGGAAGCTGACAGCCCAGGAGGCCTGCGCTAAAGGCCTCGTGTCCCAGGTGCTGTGGCCCGGGACTTTCACTCAGGAGGTGATGGTTCGCATTAGGGAGCTAGTCTCTTGTAATTCAGTTGTAAGTCATCCTTTTCATTTGATTTTGAAGTTTTTAAATATTTTGTGGCATCTCTTTTCCACAGAGTACGACCCTCTCCCTCACTTTTGTCTTTTATTTTCTCGCTCATCAAAAACAAACATTTTCTCACCGACACTCATATACAGTTATGTTGTCTGTATCATGTACGGTTCACAGATCATACGGTCTTACAAGAGGCATGTACAGTGCATTCGGAAAGTATTCAGACCCCTTGAATTTTTCCATATTTTGTTACGTTACAGCCTTATTCTAAAATGGATTAAATTGGTTTTTTTCCCCTCATCAATCTACACACAGCACCCCATAATGGAAATGCAAAAACAGGTTTTTAGACATTTTTGCAAATATATACAATAATAAAACGGAAGAAATCACATTTACATAAGTATTCAGACCCTTTACTCAGTACTTTGTTGAAGCACCTTTGGCAGCGATTACAGCCTCAAGTCTTCTTGGAAGAGTCTTGGGGGTTCCAAACTTCTTCCATTTAAGAATGATAGAGGCCATTGTGTACTTGGGGAGCTTCAATGCTGCAGAAATGTTTTGGGTACCCTTCCCCAGATCTGTGCCTTGACACAATCCTGTCTCGGAGCTCTACGGACAATTCCTTCAACCTCACGGCTTGGTTTTTGCTCTGACATGCACTGTCAACTGTGGGACCTTATATAGACAGGTGTGTGCCTTTCCAAATCATGTCCAATCAATTGAATTGGCCACAGGTGGACTCCAATCAAGTTGTCGGAACATCTCAAGGACGATCAAAGGAAATTGGATGCACCTGAGCTCAATTTGGAGTCTAATAGCAAAGGGAATGAATACTTATGTAAATAAGGTATTTCTGTTATTTTCAACATTTGCAAAAATGTCTAAAAACCTGTTTTTGCTTTGTCATTATGGGGTATTGTGTGTAGATTGATTATTCAATTTTAGAATAAGGCTGTAATGTAACAAATGTGGAAAAAGTCAAGGGGTCTGAATACTTTGTGAATGCACTGTACATACACATACACACACTCTCCTAGCCATAGTGTCCACTTGAATTGTTATATTTTCAATGTCTCTCAACTTGAAACGGACCAAGAGTAGGGCCGGGATGATATCAGTGTTGCAATATTTTTCCCATGGCAAAAAAGAAAACACAAAGCAGTCCAAACTCTTTGGTCCTTTAAAAACCTTCTGTATGTAAAATATTGTGTGCAATAGCTTGGAAAATGAATAAATAAATGTGACTGGATGACAACAATGATTGTTTCCAACATTAGGGCTGTTTTCCTAAAGAAGTTAAATCTGCTTCGTGTTTTGTTTCCTTGCCACGATACGAATGAGTATCGCGATACTGGTATCGTCCTGGCCCTAACCAAGAGTGTGTTGTTTTAAATTAACATAATGCTTTTAGCAATACATTGAATTGAGATCATGTCACAAAACATCTGGATGTTGCAGAATTGCTCATGAATCTTTTCATTGATGACATAAAAGTGATGTCATGTCCCAGAATTAAATGTTAAACAAATCTATGCCAATATCCTTCAATGCATCCATATCCATAAATCATTTTCCTTTTTTTTCTTCTTTTTTTCTGGCGGGTGGGGTGGGGCGGCCTCTGTTTGCTGCACTGTAGGTCCTGCGGGAGTCAAAAGCACTGGTGCGAAACGCAAACCGGGCCGCCCTGGAGCAGGCCAATGAACGCGAATGCGAGGCACTGAAGAGAGTGTGGGGCTCCTCGCAGGGGGTGGACTCCATCCTCAAATACCTGCAGAAGAAGATTGATGAGTTTTAAGGAAAGCACGTATTCCCCCCCCCCCCCTCCCCCCCTCCCCTCCCCGTTCCCAAGGTACCAGAAAAATATGGCACTGGCAGTGCATGGCGTTCAATCTGCAGCCTCTCCAATATCCCATCATCCCTCTTGCATGTATGAGAGTACAGTGCATTTGGAAAGTATTCAGACCCCTTGACTTTTTCCACATTTTGTTACGTTACAGCCTTATTCTAAAATGTATTACATTGTTTATTTTCCCTCATCAACCTACGCACAATACCCCATAATGACAAAGCAAAAACTAGTTTTTATACATTTTTGCAAATGTGTTAAAAATAAACTGAAATATTACATTTACATAAGTATTCAGACCCTTTACTCAGTACTTTGTTGAAGCACGTTTGGCAGCGATTACAGCCTCGAGTCTTGGGTATGACGCTACAAGCTTGGGGCACCTGTATTTGGGGAGTTTCTCAAGCTCTGTTAGGTTGGATGGGGAGCGTTGCTACACAGCTATTTTCAGGTCTCTCCAAAGATGTTAGATCGGGTTCAAGTCCGGGCTCTGGCTTCAGATGTGACGCTTGGCATTCAGGCCGAAGAGTTCAATCTTGGTTTCATCAGACCAGAGAATCTTGTTTCTCATGGTCTGAGAGTCTTTGCCTTTTGGCAAACTCCAAGCAGGCTGTCATGTGCCTTTTACTGAGGAGTGGCTTCTGTTTGGCCAAAAGGCCTGATTGGTGGAGTGCTGCAGAGATGGTTGTCCTTCTGGAAGGTTCTCCCATCTCCTCAGAGGAACTCTGGAGCTTTCTCAGAGTGACCATCGGGTTCTTGGTCACCTCCCTGACCAAGGCCCTTCTCCCCTGATTGCTCAGTTTGGCCGGGCAGCCAGCTCAAGGAAGAGTCTTGGTGGTTCCAAACTTCTTCCATTTAAGAATGATGGAGGCCACTGTGTTCTTGGGGACCTTCAATGCTGCAGAAATGTTTTGGTACCCTTCCCCAGATCTGTGCCTCGACACAATCCTGTCTCTGAGCTCTACGGACAATTCCTTCGACCTCATGGCTTGGTTTTTGCTCTGACATGCACGGTCAACTGTGGGACCTTATATAGACAGGTGTGTGCATTTTTCAAATCATGTCCAATCAATAGAATTTACCAACAGGTGCACTCCAATCAAGTTGTAGAAACATCTCAAGGATGATCAATGGAAACAGGATGCACCTGAGCTCAATTTCAAGTCTGATAGCAAAAGGTCTGAATACTTATGTAAATAAGGTATTTCTGTTTTTTATTTTGAAAACATTAGCAGAAACTTTTAAAAACCTGTTTTCGCTTCGTCATTATGGGGTATTGTATGTAGGTTGCTGAGGAAAACATTTTATTTAATCAATTTTAGAATAAGTCTGTAACAATGTGGAAAAAGTCAAGGGGTCTGAATACTTTCCGAAGGCACTGTATGTAATGAATTGTATGCGAGTGCGCACATTAAGGTGGTAAAGGTTAAAGGGCTAAAAAATAACATTTGTGGACGTTCCTGCTAGACCTTTAAATCCCGCCCTCCTAGCATCCTGATAACCTTGTGTTGACCCTTTACCCAATAACCCTGGCTTCCGAAATACAATTTCCCATGCTACATTACAGGTCCATCTAAATTGAAAGGGTTGGAGGGATTGAAGGAGGAGAAGACATTGATGAATACACAATGTGTCTTACATAGCGGGGTGTCTGGCCTACTCAGCTCGGGATTGATTTGAGTTGGATGTTGTATCAACATGGATCAGCATTTATTTATGACGTAACTAAAGAGCAAATGTAAACATTCAACGAAAACCCAAGCGACTTACATTGTGGAGCTTTGCACTAAGATGTGATGCTCTGAACTCTTAAACTGTGTTGGAACTAACTCTTGGGAAAACAGTGCAGCCCAGTGGATTGGAGGCTTATTGGATTCTCTAAATTTACTTTTTCATTTGGACACCTGGAAGACTTTCCATACAAAACAGGACGTATTGCTATTCAGTTGAATAGAGGCTGGGATTCAATCAAAGGCCCATTGTTGATAAGCGTACAGCACTTTACTTTTGAAGGTAATTTACGCTTGAGCCGTGATCCGTAGCCTCTACCATGAATGCGATCTTCGCGAACGTCGGGGAAGTTGCCTTTTTTAAAGACTCCTTGTCAACAGTGTAGTGCCTTATCAACAACGTGCCTTCGATTGAATCCAGGCCAAAGTCTGGCTCAGAATAACTTTTAAAAAGCTCTTGCCTGTATTTAGTTTGTCTAACTGATATCGTCTCTGTAGATATTTCACTTTATTTTATTTGTTATCTTCTTATTTGGCTTTGCGGACGGTATGTTCCCCCAAACAACAGTTTCTATAGTAAAACAATTTTTTAAAGTTAAGACTTATTAGAATATTATAATTTAATATTCTGCAACTTCTGAATTATTTCTTCCATGAAACATGCACGCAAGGGAGAGACAATGACAAGATTCCAATGCAATATTTGTATGCAGTTGTGATGAGGCTCGGGTACACGTTTCGAGGCTCGGGTACACGTTTCGAGGCTCTAGCTAAGCTCCAAAGCAGTGCCTAACTCCTTTTTCTATGACTTCACAAAATGTGGGTTCTGATCTGACTCGATTATCAGTGAGAATAGCCTGTAATATTATTGCAGTGAAATCGGGCCAATACAGTGTGATGTGATAGTTTATGAAAACTTTTCCAAAAGGCACACATGCCAAGACATCATGTTTAATAAATACATCAGGGAAAACATGTCACCTTTCTCAGTACCATGAATATAGTACCATAAATACATCAGGGACATGCTTACCCTGATGTATTTATTAAACATGTCTTGGCATGTGTGCCTTTTGGATAGTTATATATTCATGGTACTGATTTAAAATAATGTAAAAATGTAATTATTTATTGTCTAAAAGTATATGAAGTATTTAAATATTTAAAGTGGAGCTGGTTTGGACAAAGTCGTGTTTGTTTTTGAGTCATTGCTCATGGTTTATCACTTTTTTTTTAATTCTTTGAAATGTGAAGTATCTTCTCGGGTCAGTCTACTCATCACTTTTGGCTCTAGTTTATTACAACACTGTCTTTTCGCCATCTTTGTCAGAATTCAGTTTTTTGCTTTCATACATATAGTGCGTTCGGAAAGTATTCAGACCCCTTGACTTTTTCCACATTTTGTTTTAGTACAGCCTTATTCAAACCTTTTTTTTTTTTTTGTATCAATACCCCATAATGAAATTTTTTCAAATGTACTACAAATAAAAAAACGGATAACATTTACATAAGTATTCAGACCCTTTACTCAGTACATTGTTGAAGCACCTTTTGGCAGCGATTACATCTTTGAGTCTTTGGTATGATGCTACAAGCTTGGCACACCTGTATTTGGGGAGTTTCCTCTCAAGCTGTCAGGTTAGGTGGGGAGTGTTGCTGCACAGCTATTTTCAGGTCTCTCCAGAGATGTTTGATCGGGTTCATGTTTAGGCTCTGGCTGGGCCACTCAAGGACATCCAGAGACTTGTGGAAGCCACTCCTGCATTGTCTTGGCTGTGTGCTTAGGGTGGTTGTCCTGTTGGAAGGTGAACCTTTGCCCCAGGAGGTCCTGAGTGCTCTGGAGCAGGTTTTCAATAAGGATCTCTCTGTTAATCTTTCCCTCGATCCTGACTAGTCTCCCAGTCCCTGCCACTGAAAAACATCCCCACAGCATGATCCTGCCACCACCATGCTTCACCGTATGTATGGTGCCAGGTTTCCTCCAGACGTGACGCTTGACATTCAGGCCAAATAGTTAAATCTTGTTTTCTTCAGACCAGAGAATCATGTTTCTCATGGTCAGAGTCCTGCATCTTGACAAACTCCAAGCGGGTTGTCGTGCCTTTTTACTGAGGAGTGGCTTCTGTCTGGCCACTACCATAAAGGCCTGATTGGTGGAGTGCTGCAGAGATGGTTGTCCTTCTGGAAGGTTCTCCACAGAGGAACTCTAGAGCTCTGTCAGAGTGACCATCGGGTTCTTGGTCACCTCCCTGACCTCACCTCAGTTTGGCCGGGCGGCCAGCTCTAGGAAGAGTCTTGGTGGTTCCAAATTTCTTCCATTTAAGAATGATCAAGGCCACTGTGTTCTTGGACCTTCTTCAATGCTGCAGACATTTTTGGCACCCTTCCCCAGATCTGTGCCTCGACAAAATCCTGTCTCGGAGCTCTACGGACTATTCCTTCAACCTCATGGCTTGGCTTTTGCTCTGACATGCACTGTCAACTGTGGGACCTTAGACAGGTGTGTGCCTTTCCAAATCATGTCCAGTCAATTGAATTTACCACAGGTGGACTCCAAGTTGTAGAAACATCTCAAGGACGATAAATGGAAACAGGATTCACCTGAGCTCAATTTCGAGTCTCATAGCAAAGGGTCTGAATACTTATTGTAAATAAGGTTTTTATATTTTTTAATAAATTTGCTAACATTTCCAAAAACCTGTTTTCGCTTTGTTATTATGGGGTGTTGTTTAAGATTGAGATTTGTTTATTTATTTAATCCATTTTAGAATAATGCGTTGCAGAGGCAGTTGCAGTGCATTCGTTGGATTTATCGAACGTATGTGTCAAACTGTATGCGTAAACGGGTTGACAGAAATGGTAGCAGAAGGTGAATGTTGAACTTTTGTTACACACACATCTAGATGATGCTGCATACTATTTTGCGCAATAACGCAGTCGGTGTGTTCAAAGGCTGTAACGTAACAAAATTTGGAAAAAGTCAAGGGGTCTGAATACTTTCAGAATGTCATTCACGTTACAGATTAAGCTGGATAACAGATTTTCAAAAGACTCATGCTTTTTTACATTTTTGTCTTTCCATCTATTTTCTGTAAATCAATCTGCCCCCAAATATTGTGCCTGATAAGCATGTCATATCTCCTTAGGTTACCCATACTGCACCTCCTCAACCCAATGTTTCAAACATTTTTCTTGTTGAAAAAATTGATTATATAAATA